TTGATGTATTATGATTTGATAAATTTTTATTACAAGTCACAAATAGTACGGTTGGAGTCGTTGAAAGTCTTAGAACAGCTTTATACTAATGAGACATTTGTAAACGGTTTGCGGAATTTTACCTCACGGTTCAAACCTAGACTATTGGAAATGGCTTTAAGGGAAATAGACATAAATGTTCGTATAGCCAGCATTCAGATACTTACCATAATTCATAAGATCGGGATGTTGGAAAGTGAAGACTGTGATCAACTGTCACTTCTTATATATTGTGATGTAACAAGAGTAAGAAAAGCAATCGCACCATTCATAAAAGAAACACTTGAGGATGATTTTATACGGGAGAGAATCTCAAAGGTTCAAACGTTCTTAGCAACAAATGGTGGTACAAAACGAAAACGTGTAAACGGTAGTGGCAATGCAGCAACCACTGCAAAACGAGATTGGGTAGCGTTTAAGTGCTTGGCGGAATTCCTGGTCAAATATGCTAAAGTTATAGATGATACACATAAAGATGATGAAATGGATGAAGAGGAATATGAAGACGGCATTCTAACACAAAGTATCGGTGACGTGGAGAATAGTAGAATAAGTTTGGCAGTCCAAGATCTATGGATAGAATTGGATATTTTGCATCAATGGCAAAAATTAGCAGACTATCTTTCTAAAGATCATTCCTTGATAAATCAAAGTCGGACATCTAAGGGTGGTGGCATAAGTGCTGATACTATAGAAGAATGCTATCATCTAAGCGAACAGGAAGAAACTGTATTAGTACTGGTCTTTGTTAAATGCTTGCAATTAATTCTTTCAGATAATACGACTAAAGACAAAAAGAAGGTTTGTTTATTTTATTATAATTTTCTCTAATCATTTCATATACTAAATTATTACTTTTTTAGACGGAAAACTACATCGACGAAACGCGTGACGAAATTTCGAGAAATATGGTGACCAATTTACCTAAGTTCTTGACAAAATATGCACCTGATGCAGGTCGAATAGCTGAGGTTTTACGGATACCTATATTGATGAATCTAGATGTATATTCCGATCTGCGTATTCACAAGGTTAGGACTTTAACCACAAATCTTAGTCCCTAAAATTCTAGGATAAATAGGAATTGATAACGTCCTCTATTTTAATAGGCCTATGAGGTACTTGTCGAAGATATAGTGAAGCTTTATCTAAAACACACACATCCGGTTGTTCTTTCACATGCTGCCACAACATTTCAACATATGAGACAATATAAAAATTTTGCATCAATGACAGAGACGAGACTTGGAGAATTACAAGAAGAAGTTATTAAGACATTCCTCAGGGAATGTGAGGATAAGGTATATTGCGTATTTAAACTAATGGTTGTTAAAAAGAGAAACTAAACCTTTTAATTTATATTTAAGGACTTATTGACAATGGACCTTACTAGTGATCAAGTTCATTCACTTTGTGTAGCATTGAATCGCATAGAACAATTAATCACAGTTGTGAACTTTATCGATGCTGTAGAGGCATGCGATGATAATAACAAGAATGTTTATAATTGCATTATACGGTTAGTCAGAAGAGGATTACTGGGGAATATGGAAGAAGAAAAGGTGGTGTTATTTTTTCAATGTGGTCTTTAAAATTTTTTACTTAATTATCAAATTGATGGTAATATATATATCTTTAGATTGTATCGTCGGCAATTAATTTTCTCTGGTACTACATATTATGGAAAGTCGTAACCATTTTTCCAAACGAACTTGTTGTAGAAGATATATCTCTTGATGTATTGAACGATCTAATTGAAAAAAGAGATCAGATCGTTCAGACATTATTTGATGTTGGAATATCATATGGATCCCAAGCATTACACAATGTTAAGTCAACGGTATGGCTTAAATGCATTATTTGATTACATTATTTTGATTAATTTCATATTACTCATTTTATTCACACTAATATTAGGCGCTTCGAACGTTTGGTAATATGTATTGGCTATTTTCAAGTGATATATTTCACCATTCGAATGGTACCAATCTGTCAGAATTAAAGCTGTCTTGTCAACCGGATCTACAAGATAGAGTTGCAGATTTTGTTGAAGAAGAAATTGCGAACTTCAGGGAATCATATATTGAAGCAGAATCAAAACTTGAACAAGAAATAAGAAAGGAGGAAGATGATGATGGTGATGATGAAAGTGAACAGGAGACTGAGAAGCCTGTAAAGAAATGTGAGTAGTCATATGTTGATGAGTGTGAAACTTCATCGAACTATTTTAACTTTATTTTTTTAACTTTATTTTATTTAGCGAGAAACGTTGACATGTTTATCAATCCTGAAGAAAAAATCAGAATTATGGATGTTATTGGTACTCTCCTCCGAGGTGTCAGGGGCGGCTGGCTTAATATCTCACATGCAGCAATTGTTATTTGTAATTATGGAACTATTGGAAGTGACCTTGATGATGTGATTAAAAAACTTCTGTTGGAATTTAAAGAGAGAATATCATCAGGCGATGATGCAAAGTTATTCGCATCTGTTTGTATGAAATCACTGAGAAAGGTTCGTTGTTGATACGTCTATGTTTAAATTCTTTTTTATTTTATCAATTTATATACGTACTTTTTTATACCTGTAGTCTCAGTTCCTATATGTGGACGGGAAAATTAAATCAATGAATGCAACTGCATCGCTTGCTAGCTTGTGCGCTAATACGCTGCGGCTACGAGATACTTCAGATAAATCATCGCATAAAGAAATGGACTATGTTGTAGAGTTACATCGCTCTGGGATCCAGCATATTTGTTCAATGATAACAGCATATCAGATTATAAATGATTTTGAAGGTAGAGAATGTCTTGTAAGATCTATTCAGTTCTTTAAGATTTTGTCTATGCTATTTGGCGGAATAACTTGCAACGATGCACAAAAGATGTAAGTCTAATTGAGTTCATTATATTTATGAGAAGCTTAAAATATTTAGTGTCTAATTTTTTTATTTTAGTGAATCTATTCTTAATGAAGAATTCGAAAAAATTAAAATACAAACAGTCGAGTCAGACAAGTTATGGGAACATTACTTTTTATACATACAGAAGCTAAATAATATTATGATTAAGGGTGGTGCTAGAAAAGGTGATTCTATTATAATTATAATTAATCTTTGAAAAAAACGTATTGGCTGTTTATTCAACTAATATTCACGTTTTTAGCTCATGCAGTGGGCGAATCGAGTAAAAAACGCACTGTAAATAGTAAAAGAAGACGACGAACATCAGATAGTCGACGTAATACGAAGGATCATCTTGTTGACTCAAATTCTGAAAATCAAGAGAATAACGAGGGGTTTGCAATTTCGGCCGTTTGTAGGCCGAGGAGTAATAATATTTCCCCATCATTTGGTGATGAAGATGTCAATAATTCTTTTAACAGTGAGAGATCTTCACCTAATATGAAGCGGTCAGCGCCCGTCGACGATATTGAAATCACAAAATCACCTGCAAAAAAGAGAAAATCTTATGCTAAAAAAAGATCAAGTGTGGAAATGGGGGATGTTAGTAATGAAGAAAAGCCAGATAATGAAGGTTCAGATAGTGATGGAAGTTATCAAAGCTTATCTGATGTACGAATAACAAGGTCGAGGTCGAGACGATTAAATCTGGCTTAATCGGCTACTATCTGCCAATAATACTTCAAATTTTTGAACTATAAACTAATCTGAAAGGTCCCGCTGATTATGTTCGTATTCGTATTTTATTTTATGTTGAAATTTTTAGAGTAAATTACCTTTATTATTTCGCGGGTTATATGCACGAATTTTATTGGCTAATATTTTACATATCAATATCAACTTTTATTTTACGTAAATAAAAAACTAATACGTTATTTGCATAATATTTTCGAAATAACAAATTATTGCCAAGGTTGAAGTTACTATAATAAGCTATAAATAATTATAGGTTTTAAATAAATAATTATTAAAGATTTTCAATTTTGCCAGATCGTTTTTTCCGTATATGTGTATGTGGTGTAATGATTGTATATATGTGTGAACTGGATCGTGTCAACTTTTCTACTATAAGTGGTTTGGGTTGTACGACTTTTTTGTAGCTTGTAACGTCTTTCTGCAGAAGATCT